GATGACCAGAAAGGTTGGTAAGTACCTGGAGTAGATACAATACAATAAAGGTCACTTTCCAAAAGCGCATGGTATTGTAAGATCAGATCAATCCAGCTGTAAAGAAACCGATGATAATTTGTAAGTCACGGGGATTTTTGGAATTCTAGAACCATTTCTTCTAAATCGTGGTCTGCGAGTCACAGAATCACCTCGTCATAAGTTTCAAAACAAATCAAAGAATCCGTGGATTTATCGGAATATATGTTATGAAGAAAAGTGCTTAACGACGGAAACACTAATACTGAATATGCCAGTCCAGTTCTTTCTACTTTTCCTAATCCTGATGTGCTCCAAAACTCTGCAGCATTGTGGTTCATCCAATCAGAAACCCGGGTCATCAAGTAATCCATCCAGGAAATTGAATGTACATAGCATAATCTTTTATGACTTCGCGAAGACATTTACACATTTTTGCAAAATCATAAACAGATTTGCAGTAAACTGAGAGCAATATGGAACTTACACAGAAGACTGTATGAATGAATAAAAGAAACCTATGAGAGATTAGAATTGCTGTCTTTTGTCATTGAAGAAGAAGCGAACCACTGAATGCATGTTCAGTTTTAACTAGACATTAGCAAAACCAGTGAGATTAAAAAATGTAGAACTCTCCTCTGCACGATTTCCGAGATTTGCTAAATTAACAATCCTGTCCAGCAAAATGCATCACCTTTACATGCCATTAAATGAAATAATGTCGAATTTCTCCCGTTTTTTTTTTAATTTTAACTTATAGCAGCATTGTCACATTGTGAAAGCAATAGTGAGCTGAAAAGAAAGAAAAGGATTATTGCACAGCACCTATTTTTTTGCATGGTTCGCGCGGAACAATTCAATTATAGGTTCATTGTAAAGGAGCAAGGGAGGATTTAATTAAAGCCTAGTACGATTATAATGAACCAAAGAAACAGTAGGCGGAAATAGCTATCATTTATTAATATATTTCCATATTTATTGAAAAGAGGTATCAAACAAAATGATGATGTGAAATACACCTTTTCAGCAATTTATACATTTTTACAAATAAAACATAGTGAACGAACAGTAAATGCCGATTTAAAAAATGCATTTATATACAGAATTATTTATAATTTTTCATAATGTTACTCTTTTCACAAAAACTTCCTTGGTGAAAATTAAAAACCTGAAAATTTTCACCAAGAGTTTTTGAAATCCGGAAGGGTCATTTGTAGAGGTAAATATTTTCCAGAAGTTTCAGAAAAAAAACTTAACAATAATATCAAAAATCAACCTACATCTAACATCTAAGCATTAGAAACTTCCAGGGAGAAGTTATTAGAAAATAGGATAGCTACGATTACGGTCCTAGTCAGGTTTTTAAGGATATTTTTCCGCAGATCAAATACAATCTTTAGAAAAGCTGCACCAAATTCAGGGCATACGTGCTTTACTTTTACAAAAATGTGTTACTGAGAAACAAATTTTACTAAAAAACAGAAGGAAGCACATCCTGAAGCATTTATATTATACCTAAATTTATTCCCAGTTCACACTTATCATTCTAGTTAATCCATTCCACAAGTGGGTTGCTAGTGGATAAAGAATGCAAGTATTTTCTTCTCTACAGTTTGAAATTTTTATTGTACAATAGCATGAAATAATAAGCTAATAGTCAACTAAAAAAAAAAAAAAAAACCAAACGATTTGTTCTAACTTGCATTACAACCGATCCGCCTTCCACGTTCAACGTCATCATCGTCACCACCTTGCACAGCTAGTCCTATTGATGCAACTACCATATCGAATATACCTGTATGCATTCGTTTCTGATTTGCTGCCGAAAGATCCGTAAGACGGTGTAATTCACGTCCAGTTTCTCTGTTATCCTATAAAAAAGGAAAGATACAATTCAATTTATAGAAAAAAGTACCGCCAACACGCACTGAACTTCCAAAAACTTCTACCAGATAATTTATAATATTTCTGAAATCTATTCGAATTCATAAAATAAGATTTGCATAATTTCATTTTTAAAGACTTTTAATACTATTAAAAGTATTACAGAAAACAAAAGATCTCTCTGAATCTTTGACCTCAAAAGGATAAGCCTTCAAATTAGGGATCAGTTAACAAACTAAAATTTCGTCCACCTTAATAATAACTTGGGTCTATAGCGCAAATTAATTTTCTTTATTATATGAAGAAAATTAATGAAACTTAATACTATAATAATTCTATCTAAAACTATAATAATTCTACCTAAATATATAATAATTCTATCTAAAATGCTTGTTTGATAAATTTTATGATCAATCTTGCAAAGCTGAAAACTAACGACCCACAAAACAGTTCTGAATGTTTTAAAAGTTTTTTATAAAACTAATTCAGGAAAACCTCGAAATTTTTAGGAAATGATAAAAACAAACCCTTCGAAAATCTTCATCAAGTGGCTGCCAAAACCGAATGACGTGTTCAATTCCGGAAGTTGCAAGCAACAAAATTGATGGATGAGGCTGTACGCAATTCAAAATATTCATATCCGCTTCAAACCCTTTTATCAAAGCACCCGATTTTCTCTCCCAAATCAATAATGAACCACAGTCACTGCCTGCGGCAATATATTCATCTCTACCACCAAACCAAACAGCTTCCTGATAATTAAATTTTGAGAGTTTTACATTTTGATGGTTTTACACTTGCGAACAGTTTGAAAATCACAAAATAATAAAAGACAGTAAAGAAAAATTAAGGAAAATTCTTAACAAATACTTTTATATCAGTATTGGTATTACAATGTCCACATAAGCGCTGAACGTAATCTGAACAACCATTTGAAGTCCAATTTTTCTGTCCCGCAGGATCAGTTCGCAACACAGCATCCAATCTATCGCAAGAATGGTCAACCGGAAAACGTTCCTAAAAGCAATTTTTTTTCGAAATTTCAAAAGCTTAAAAATGAAGAAACGACTTTCCATAGCAATATTCGATACGGGCAATAATTTCACATTCCATCTTGATATTAAATGCTAACACAAAGGAAAAATGTGAGTTATGCCATCCTCTATCGCGTTTCGAAAAAATGCGTGTGCCAGAACATTAACCGGATTGAATGCATTGAATTTACAAATTAACCTTCTCAATTATTAAATCAAGTTCGAAAAAAATTAAAGAAAATAATTCGAATAAGCCTGAATGAATCCTATAAAATAATAATAAATCCCGAATAATTTTGGTCCAAGATCATTATTTACATAATCACACTAAATAGTTCCGGAACACTCGTCGTTATATCCTATTATTTCCGTACGATTAATGGTTTAATAATAATCCGAAGACATCAACAATCAATGAATTTTAATTCTCGATAACTTTCAAAAATGAACCTTGAATAATTTTGAAATTTTTCTTGCCATATCATATTGTTTTAGTTCAATTAGGGCTTTGATAATCCGATAATGTACTTTACTATTTCTCGGTTCAATTTTGAGAGCCCGTATCAAATCTAATAGTGCAGCATACGCGTCGCCATCCCACAACCTTCGTAGATAGCTTGCCCCACGATTTGCTAATAGCAAACATAAATCCATAGAATGAGGATGCCTACGTGGCGGATTGTGCCTAAACTAACAGAAATTTACTAATAAAAATTTTAACCTCCCAGAAAAAATTTAAAAAAAACCCACTCAAACTTGCGAAAACGTGATCAGATTTATTTTTAGGAAAATTCCTGCTGATTCCGATTATCCACATTTTATAAGAAAAATAAATTTTATAGTCTATCTCCGCAAATTTCTGAGCAAATTTTCCTCTAAAGCTGAAATTAAATTAGATACCGAAACACAGATTTAGCGTATAATGATCAAAATCCAACATAATTTAATAAAAATTTCAGGATAAGCAGCTTACCCGCACAATTTTTCACAATCGAGAATTGTCCGACTATATGTATCAATTGCATCAGTATATTCTTTATTATTAAAATGAATTTTTGCTTGCTCACGCTCTCTTCTAAAAACTTCTGTTGTTGTTTTTTCAAAGCCAGGAAAACCACTGGTGTCCAACAAATTTCGAACAGGATCATCAATGAAACTGTTAAGTGACTGCAATGCATCTGGCTCGTGTGCTCTGAAGAAAGAAAATATAAAAGTTCCAAAAACGAGTGATTTTATTCTTTGGCCTACTCTAAAATACGTTTAAATCATTCATTTTTAAATGATTCCAATTCACTAATGCATTATCATTATATTAAACATATTCGACATATGCACTGATTTTCAATGCTAGTTCCTTGTTATGTCCATCTGCTTCTTTCTAGTTATCATATTTAAAAAGTTTTCAAGTAAAATAAACTGGTTTATCAGCAGAAATTAAGCGCTAAGCAACTGTGTCACTAATCAAAATCACCAGTTGAAAATAAACATATGTATTTCAAAATATATATAGAAAATCTCAATTATAGATCGGAAAAATTTTAACTCCAATCATATGAAAAAAAATTACCTATCAAAAACATTAAATATGTAAATCTGTTCGCCACCAATATTAACAATAAGTTCATTGCCTAAAGAATTGAAACCAACATGGGTTACCGATAATGTTCTGAACGCGTGACGCGAGGATGAATCAGAAATTGGAATGTGACCTAGAAGAAAACTGTTCATCGACGAGGGTAACGTAGTAGAAGAGATTTAAATTCATTAACGATGTTAAAGTGGATGCATGAACTACCTGATATTTAAAAGTAAAAAAAAA